CACCGAACGTAATGTAAAAAGCACCGAACGTAATGTAAAAAGCACCGAACGTAATGTAAAAGCACCGAATGTAATGTAAAAAGCACCGAACGTAATGTAAAAGCACCGAACGTAATGTAAAAAGCACCGAACGTAATGTAAAAGCACTAAACGTAATGTTAAAAGGGCCGAATAGCAAATGCGCCGAACGGAAAAGAGCCACCAAAGGCAGTAACGGCGTTCCATAAATAGCAGCTATTTAAGTTCTTTGATTATAACAGAAGAGAGTCCACTCCATAGAGCTATTAAACAACTAGAGTGTTAACAAGATGGCGAAGCAATGCAGAGTTATGTATGTGTACCATCCAAGATGGCCGCCGTAGTAAAGCGCCACCTTCAGGCTTAGTATACATATCATTACATATTATAAGCCTTCTGACTGACATTATTTCATTAATGATAATGAGTAATGATAATAACAAATTATCAAACTATTGTAGCCAAAACGAGGCCAAGTGGAGCATCTTATTCAAAAATAAAGTACCAAGGAATGAAAATAAAAATCGTGTACATTACACCCAAACACCGCAACGCTCGAGTTTCAAACATACGGGTAACTAGCTGTACCGAACTTTCTGAGTAAATTGAGGGCGCAATTTCAAACGATGGTGCTGAGCGAAATTTAATTGGCTAAATCTGGCAGCCATCTTGGATGGTACACACACACAGTTCTGCGTATTTCGAACATCGAATACATTGCGGTTAGCGCTCTAGTATTCTTATTATACCTTATTATATTATGGTCCACTCAGACTGAAAATGCGTTCCGCTCGACGACAGAACGCCCTCTACAAACTGTTGTGGATAAACTGCTTGAGTGGATTTCCCGCACGATTAAAGCGCCTTTCACATCTATTCAGGTTCCAGTTCAGGTTCCGTTTTCAGTTCCGGTTTCTTGTCTGGTTCTGACGATTCTGTTTACATCTACTGCGTTTTCCGTTCCGGCGGTTGACGCGGATCACCCTGACGTTATGCAGTATATCGACTTGTGCGCGAGTTGTATGTATTGTTTATGTTTTGAAAATACTACCATTCGTAGGTTCCTTTAGTGCTTAGTATTATTTACACATATTCTATATAAGTAAAATTTATTAGAGTTCAAAATACAAAACATCTTTATTAGGCTTATGATTTAGGTGTACGGTAAGTAGGCCCTAGGCTAGGCCTACCAATGGCGATATCGTTGACCTCTGCCTTAGTAACCTACATTTTATAGTCTCTAGTTCTTGATTCCTTCAGAAAAGTAATATGCATACCTGATGCAATACATAATAATTGACTATGGTGCGGTATCGTAAAGCACACTAGATATAGTAAATTTATAGTCCTTTTAATTAAATTAGTATTATTTTATTTACGTGGCATGGTAGTTCTGTAGACCAATTTTACTTGTCAGTGCACATAGGAATAGTTACGGTATGTATATTTTCTGTTTACCTTATATTATTCTCAACAGAACAACAACAATGGATTCAAGTAGCAGTGATGAAGATGAAGTTATTGTAAATCTGATACTTCAAAGGAAAAAACGAAAGAAGAGTTCGTTCTGGGTCAACCCCATAAATCAGAAAAGATCTAATATTGGCCATTTTGTTTCTCTGATAACAAATGACTTACAATCCTTAGAAGACCAATACTTTTCTTACTTCAGAATGACGGAGGAACAATTTGAAACTATTTTAGATTTGATCAAAGCTGATATATTCAGACAAGATACAAGATTCAGGAGAGCCATAACTCCAAGAGAACGTTT